GTCCCCAGGAGCGCGGTGCATCATGCTAATAAATGCACCTGAAAGCTGGCTACAAGCGAGGATCGAATTTTGGTTGCATAGTATGGGGTAAAAAAGGGGGCAACAGTGTGATCACTACCCACATGCTTTGTAAGATGACCTGTAGAATTTTGCCGTCGAGCCCAGAGGTCTATTCAGTGGCCATCAGATGCCAGAAGTGGTGCAGCATGAGTGAAGCCGCAAGGTTCCATGTCAGCTGTTGGGCTTAGCCTCAGTTGCTGCAGCCATTGCGTGCACGAAGCGCAGCTCTCCTCTCCTCGGACAGCCCAAGCCATGCGTTGCCACGCAGCCTGAAAGCAAAGAGACGGTTTGTTCAGCAAGACCAGCGGGTTGGCTGCCCCACAGACATTTGCGCAACTGAGTACTAGACGATGGAGCTTCCGCATGCGATAGAGTTATAGCAGAGTTCGCGGGTGTAGTGTATGCGGCCAAGGGATGGACAAACTATCTCCACTTCCCAAGCCGCATGTGTCCATGTGTACGCAAGGACTCGCTGCTGCTTACAAATGTGCCGCTAGTTCGAAGAAAGACTCAGGCCAGGTTGTCGACGCAGTCGATTTGTAGGAAGGTTTCCAAACAGAGTCCCTGTTTGGAGGCCGTACGTCAAGGAATGTAGCATTTTCGAAAACCGTTGGACCTTTTTGACGTCTGTGCGGGGGACCCCTTTCTTGGAAATGTGTGTATCTTTCTGGTGGTCAGGCCAACACGGCCTACACGTTCGATGCATCAAACGGAGTGCGAAGCTAAGCTTTGGAATTCATCCCGCCTTTCAACCTTTGATTTGAAGCTGGCGTTCTATGTGGCTTGCCAAGATGCTGTCCACCGCACCGTCGCCACCAAAACTGCAGCGCAGCTTCAGTTTTGGTTCTCTCTTCAGGCTGGACGCGGAGTTGCATTTCTTTTCAAGCATTTAGCTTTGCAAGCCAGCACTGAGTTTTTGCCAGACAACAGCAGTCCTCTCAACCCGCCGGTCTTCAAGTAAGTATCTCTGAAGAGCACAGCCACGGGCGCACACCCAAATATGATTCGCTCAGTGGGGAATGTGCCTTGCAACTTGCAGCTTGTTGAAAAGGTCTTCCGTGCCAGCGGAACCACCAGCGAAGCGGAGTTCACGCCGTTGCTCTGAGATGCCCAGCGTGAGTATGGAGGCAACAATCTGGGCGCAGGGACTTCACGTTGCTTCTTTGAAAACCTGTCTTCTCCGAGGCGATACTAGCCCGAAGCTCGCAGCGGCGGCATACGCTGCTCAGTTGCAGATAGTTTGAAGCTTCATTCAGGGGATGATTTACGGCTGTAGAAGCTTTTGAGCAGACAGAGCCAACCGCTTGCACCTGATTGGACATGACACTTAGGGACCCTGGGCGCAGCGTTCAGCTGGTTTTCCATGGCACACAAGGCCATGGTCTTGGATTCGTTGTTCTTGCATTTTCGTGTGTCTTCTGTTCCTTCTGCAGGCAGTCGTCGGCCCTCCCTCATAGACCTCTCCATGGGGTTGCCGCCCCTAGTGCCGCCAAAGCCGCTGCCTCAAGCAGGACCCCAAGTATCTTTCATGGCAACAGAAGATGTTGCTTCCAGGTTGGAGCCCTCTGTGCAGAAGTTGGGGACTAGTCCAAACAAAGCCGCCATTGAGCCCGAGAAGTCAGTGGTTGTGGACAAGCTGGCGGTGCCAGAGAAGTGCAATAGTCCACGTGCGAGCAGGCCTGTCCTTTCAATGAAGACATTGCACAAACGAACTAAACCGACATAGATCACGAAAGTCCTCAAACTCTCGATCCTCAATAGCATAAGCCCTAAAGCATTTACCCCTAAACTTCAACCAGGGACACCACCATGACGCCCAACTCTGCGAGCCTGGCATCAACGGGTGCTGATTCGGGAGGCACGCTCCAATGCATTTCAGCACCAGCCATTGCATGACAACTACCAGGCGGCGACACGCCAAAGCAGGTTCGTTTCCGAACAACCATCACAGAGTGTGAGGTGGGAATGGTAAGAGCTGGAGTGTGGAAAGTGGAGTGGAGTGCAGCTGGTGCAGAGCAAGTGTTCCACTCTTGTCCTGTTGTGGGCTCCACACTGCTATGCAATAGAATGACAGTGAAGGTGACAACTCCTTATGGAGTCATCTATGATGGTATCCGGCCCATGGATTTCGATTTCGATCGCTGGGGGCGGAAGGCAGGAGCTGGGTGCATGGACTCTGGACCGGCAGGGCAATTGAGTGAATTGAACAACTGGGCTCTTTTCTCGCACACCAACTCAACACACATAGTGGGGATCTGGCACGATTTGCACGCTCCTGTTGGCACAAGCTTTCATGGATGCACAGGACGTAGGCCGTTGAAGTGGCTGTGCAAATCCACCCAAACCCCTAAACCTTTAAGCCCGAAAGGTCGTCGATACTATATCCCGGAACCTACCGTCTGCTCTCTTTCCTAACCTCTAAGTCCTACACCCTGAATGGCCTCTAAACCCTAAGTTCGCGGCGTAGCTCTCAGATCTACCACTTCTTCCCAAACCCCGAGGAGGCGGAGGTGCGGTATGTAGACAGTCAAAACTGGGGGTTTTTGGAGTTCAGTGGTTTCTGGAGTTCGCAGCTGTCTGTGGGATCTGATAGGAGCTTCATGAGAGATTTCTGAGGAACACGCATGGGATTACTGAAGGTTTCTGAAAATTGAGGGTTACCTTTGGGTATCCTGAGATGAAGCAGCCTATCATTTTTGTGGCTGTATAGGTGGATCTGGATTTCAAGACAAAACCTCACGCAGTCTCTTCAAAGTAAGCATTTCTTTGTCAAAGGCTGCGAGTCCTTCCCTGCTTTTCTCAGGATGATGATGATTGAGACCGTTGGTGGCCTCAAGGAGTGTGGGTCTCGCACCCTAAGCGCACAAGCCTAAAAGTTGAATCCTAGACTGCGGGGCGGCGTCGACCGGTCCTGCTGTGCTGTGTGGAGATAGCTTTGGAGGAACGAGGTACTTCTCAGATGCATGCATGCGACTCGACTAGCCAACAGGACTCTTCAAAGAGCGCTATTGCAGAATTCAGGCACCTCAACCTGACCACTCATAGTTTCGGCAGGCTGCCGTGAAAGAACATGTTTCTCATCGGAGTTTATAGCTGCAAGTGGTGCATGTGGTTGCTGCAGCCTGCACGAATATTTCAACCAATGTTTTGAGATTCTCTCATTAACATTCGCTCTGCCCTAAGGGCTTTGAGCTACTGGTTCCCTTCCCTGCTGTCCAGACGAAGTCGGACACGTCTGGTGGCAGCAAGAACAGAACGAGAATCCAAGGAGCATGCGCTTGTCGGCGCTTCTTTCCATCCTTTGCTGGTCTGCCACCTGGTGCCCATGTTCTTCCAGCGCTGGCTCGTGCCAGACGAGCTGAGATGCCATTGTGACCTTTTCAGTTGCTGAACGGTTCCTAGATGAAAGTCTGTCAGGAAAGCCCGTGGCATGTTGCTCTCTTCTCTTGAAATTAATTATCAAATGGCAGTTCCAACAGGAACACCTGCATGGCGTTGATGTCAGACTGCCGTTGACTGTCCCCTCCTTCAGGGAGGTTTTTGTTCTTACCGCGATGCTGCCTGATTCTCAAGTTCTCCGGGTTTTGGTAAACACTGGCGCGGCCTGTTGGAGCATTTGCGACTCCACACAGGGCTGGCGCAGTTGCCCGTTCTCCCGGGAATTCGATGCAATCAATTCAGATGCCCATGCAGACATCCGGACTCATGGGGATGACGCTGCCAGAGCCTTCCAAAAACAGCTGCTGTCTCAAGCGGATGGTAAGCTCAATTTACGTAATCATGTTGTTGCCGACTGCTAATTGCCAGCCTTGAAACCCGACAGGCATTGCTTGAGAACAGCTATCTTGGAGGTGCCTTTTTGCGGCGGGCTCCTGCCGGACCTGCAGGTGTAAGATGTTCGCAGAAAACGGACGAGGCAAAATGTCACGAACAACGCTGTACTACTCATTCTTTCACCTGTTATGTCAGAATTTTTCACATGCTTCTGCAATGCTTCATACAGGCAGACTGCACAGACCTTTTTTCATCCCCTAAGCCATCTAGAATCCAGAGTCCCGAAAGGCCACCGCATTTTGAGAACCTCACATGCTTGAAGATCAGCAGACGCAGGTGGATGCCGATGGCTTCACTGCACAGCAGGCGTCGGGCTCCGTTATTCAGCAGGTAGGTTCTCAGGATAATCCACATTTGCCTAGAGAGGAGGGGGAATGCAGCTGAAGGTCATGATGGCAGTTTCAGGCTACAAAGACAGGGAGCCTGATATTGTGTTCCGCTTGGCCAAGTGGCAGGCGACCGCTTTATGAGCAATGTACTTAGGGGGTGGTTTCCAACATTAGGATCTGAAAGGCTACAGGATGCCATCAGAAAAATGTGGCCACACAAAAGTTCGTAGTTTGCGGAACAACCCGGCAGCTCTTGAGATGAGAGTCCGCGAGGTATACCTAGGGCTCATGATTTGCAGTCTCTACAGCCAAAGCCCAGCATAATCCTAGTCTGCATCCTAGCCCCAAATGCTAAGCCGTAAAACCTAAAAGTGTGCAAACTAAACACCAAAAAACCTGAAACTGAAAGCACGCCGAACCGTTGATTGAAAAACCCAAAACCCTTTGTGGCAGGCATGGGAGTTGGCAGAGGCACTCCCATCCCTTGAGGCTTGCTGGGAGAGTTTACCGCAAAGGGCTTCTGGCGTTTGGGGATTCAACCGCTTGTTTCAGGAGAATTTACCGAGAACGTGACCCTACGTAATCCTCTTCTCATCCTCGCATAGATTTTGCGGAGGCCCTAAGTGTGTGCGCCTGGTTTGAGAAACCCCTTGACAAGAAAATCACCACAGGGGCAAAAACAAGAAGTGTTCTGCAATCACAGTTGTATCTCTAGCTGAGTTACTAGAAGCCGCGTGAACAACAGAACCGCATAGCACGATATCAAACCTGTAGTCTTCATGTATATTCTATTGGACCCCCAAAATCACCCCAAAGGCTAAGCCTGTAACCCAACCTTTCACTCAATTTCTTGAACCCCGAGTCCATAAACTCTTACTCCCTGAGTCATTCCCATGTGCTAGGAGGGCTCCACTGTTCGAGTCTGCGCCTCCTGGGATGAGGCCTGCCAAGTTGTGCGTAGAAAGGCAGAGAAATATTCGCCAGGACAAGTGTTTCGTAATGCGCCGCCCTACCTAGCTTTCGACTTGTGCTATCATCAGCGATATCGCTAGTCATCATTCCTGCTGGTAGTACTTCTGTAGTGGTTCCTAGGGTTGTCAGCATCACGGAAACTCCCAGGGACTCCCAGGATGGCACCGCTATGGTTTTCATTCTACTTTGGTTGGGATTACGGATAGGGCTGACGGCCGAGCTCCACGCACCTGTGGGTGTTCAAAGTGCGATACTCCAACAAAACCCATCTTCTAGCTTTTTCAACATGGCGCCCCAACCCTAGAGTGAATCCTTTTTACCTCGAGCACCCTCCTGCTGCAGCTCTTGGCGTACCTCTGCGAGGTCTACCATGAGGCATGCTGTCCGTTTTTCTTTGTGTTGCGATTTTGCCAACTGCCGGCTATTGCGCTTCCACGGAACTTGTTTTTGTCAGGGATGCCTCATTGCGTCTGTAGCGCGTAAATGAGCTCTCTGTGAAGAAGGCTTTCTATCTTGGTCTTGGTGCCGCAACCGCAGGGGCCCAAGGACATGGCTGTGGACCTTTCAAAGCGTCTCTAGATGTAACATATGCTATATCGGTGCTGGTTCCCCAGCCGTTGGCCAGATCTTTCGAGCCCTTGTCTCCCTCCGTCACCCTGCCAGTCTAGCTTTCAGTTGCCTGTGAACCCTAAGGCCGGCACCATGCTTCAACCTGCAACAAGCTCTGCCTGGACCTTCTCTAGCATGCTTGCAATCCGCTGCGTGCTCCACAGGTACCAGCAGATCAAAGTTTGTTCAAGGACATAGACCGAATCCGGATTTCAACTGCCAGTCGACCTACTTTGTACAGCCATTTGGCCGAGACGACGAGACTGCTTGACAAGAGCAAGCCGCGATTTTTCTAAAAGGTACTTTCCAGAAACCAACATGCACTTTGCAAGACCAATGCGATATTACCAGTGTCAACCACGAAACGCACGCACACAATGTCGCCTTATCCCGAACCCTAAACCTCGGGCTAAACCTGGTGCCCTGGAGCGCATGCAGACGTTGAAAGGGTCTCTCACCAGAGACCCGAAACTAAAGCAAACTCCTAACCCCCGAGCCCTAAACCCTATATAGTAGTTTCCATTGTCGTTTCCATTTTCCCAATACAACCCCTATATATCCTTAAATTATATCCCTGTTATACCCCTAGATAACCCCAAGCCAATTCCTTCGGAGCCTTTTTTGCCCGCGGCACGCCTCGGCAGCTGCCTTGGGATGAGTTGTCTCGGGATTGCCTGGCTCGCTTGAAATGGGGGTTTCCCAAAACTAGGGGTACCTTTACAGGGGGTTATAGGGGTACATATGATTTAGGTTTAGGGTTTAGGCTTAGGGTTTCCCAAAATTAGGGGTCCACCTTATTGGGGGTCCCCATAATCAGGACTTGAAATGGGGTTAATATGGGGATAATGGAGAAACAAATGGAAAATAAAATTGAACATGAAATGGAAATTGGGGTTACATGGGCGTATATATCGGAGTTAAAGACCATGGAAGTAATTCAAAAGGGAGAATGCCAGGATGATTATGGTGGGGTTATGGGGGAATTTGAAAATGTCTTGGGAATGTCAGGCGTCGGATGGTGTAAGGTTCTTGGTTTACCGCATTCTTCTGGGAATCAAATCCCAAAGCCTAATGCATGGGCGGCAACATCAGTAGCAATGACACGTGGTCGACATAATTAACCAGAATGTTGTTCATAGTGATGTTAAGAGTAGTCGCGCCAACACAAGATTCAAGCACTGAACTCAACCTCTGTGCACGGAGGACTGCGCTGTTCGAGGCCCTTTCCGAAGGAGATGTGCACCGAGCATGTCAGGCGAGTTACCTCTGCTTTTCTTGTTCCTTCTGCACGTCAGATCTCGCTCATGAGTGAGCTCTACGGTATTTTCAGGCAGATAAGCCAGTGCAGATCATTGGGACCTCTTTCCGGAGTTTGGACAGAAGTTCACATGGCAAGTCTCTAGGGCCCTGGCTCCGTTGAGCTTCGGTTCCTTGTAAGGTGATTGCTCGCGGTGCGCCCGTGGATGAGCAGGACAAGGTGGACCGTGTGCAAAGGGGTCCGGGAATCCAGGGTTCAAGGCTCAGGTTTCCTCCCCCCAAATTGATATGGAGCCCATATAGATAGCCTCCTTTAGGAAGGATAGCAGTCTTTAATAACAGGGCTTCGTTTAGGGCCTTCATGTTGTTTCTATTGCTGAAGAACTGAGTTCCAGAGCTCAGAGGCTGGAGAGACGGCCCTCATTTTGGCTGGCCACCGAGCTTCCACTGGCTTATCTTTGGCTTAGGGTTTAAGTGGGAACCTTATCCCTTTCAATCCTTATAACTTACAACTAATTTCATAGTATAGTATAACCTTAATGATCCCCTGACTCATCCTTGTATCAATGTGGTGTCACATACCCGGAAGCCCTATTCCAATTACTCGCCTATGATTAGCATGGAATTCCTATGAATTCCTTCTTTCACGATATCATCTCTGATAATCTTGTTGTTTCCATATTTGTCCATTCCTTCATTCCCTGCGAACCAGAGGCAAGTTCTGCAACCCCTACATAAAACTAAGTCTCCATTTCATTTTCCAGTTTCGTTTCTGTTTGATATTCCATTATTGGTGTAGTCAATCACCCTAAACCTT